GCAAAAGGGTAAAAGGAAAACTGGTATGACAATAATCACATTTATTGTGAATTAACTAAATGCACCAATTAAGAACAAAAGCTGAACTCAATGAGATGGAAAACAATTGAATTCATCAATAAGACCCAGATCTGGTTTTTCAAAAGGGCCAATGAAATTGACACACCCCTGTCAAAGTTGGCAAAAGATGAAAAAGAGAAGACACAGATAAACTCAATTAAGAATGATAGAGGTGGCATCACAACAGAATCAGAACTTTATGAAGAGCTCTACTCTGATAAATTAGAAAGCCTAGAGTAAATGGACAAATTCCTTGAAATTCATGCCGCACCCATATTGAAGAGGAGAAATATACAACACTTGAACAAACCCATCACAAAAGCAGAAAGGTCATAAAAATACTTTGCCACAAGAAATGCCATGGACCAGATGGCTTCACAGCTGAATTCTACCAAACACTCAGGATTTATCACCAATTCTACTTAAAGTATTTTATAAAATTGAAAAAGAAGGAACACTCCCAAAGTCATTCTATGAAGCAGGCATAACCCTAATACCAAAATCAGGCAAAGATACTACCAAGAAAGAAAACTACAGACCAATATCTCTCATGAATATAGATTCAAAAATCCTTAACAAAATCTTAAACAATAGAATCCAAAAGCAAATAAAAAAAAAAAAATTCATCATGACCAAGTGGGATTCGTAAGAGGTATGCAAGGATGGGTCAGCATAAAAAAAAAACAATCAACTGATTCACCATATTAACAAAGTATGTTACAAGAACCATATAATCTTAGCAATTGATGTAGAAAAGGCATTTGACAATATTGAACACCCCTTCCTATAGACACTCAGCAAAATTGTAATAGAAGGGAATTTCCTCAACATAGTGAAAAGTATGTATGTAAAACTAAAGCCACCGTCATTCTCAATGGAGAAATACTGAAAACATTTTCCTTGTAAAAAGGGACTAAACAAGGATGCCCACTGTCACCACTTCTTTTCAATATTGTATTGGAAGTGCTTGCTAGGGCAATACGAAAAGAGAAGAAAATAAAAGGCATTCAGATCTGTAAAGAGATGGTTAAACTATGATATGATATATAATATGATGTGATATGATATTGTATACAGAAAAGCCCAAAGACTCAACAACAAAAAACAGTTAGTGGGCCAGTTTAGTAGAGTAGCAAGATACAAGATGAATATCCAAAAATTACTGGGATTCCTGTACAGTAACAAAGAACTCAGAAAAGGAAACCAAAAAAGCAATACTATTCACAATAACAAACGACAGATTGACATACTTGGGTGTGAACCTAATTTGCGATATAATAGACCTATACAAAGAAAACTACAGCATATTTCTGTAAGACACAATAAAAGACCTAAAGAAATGAAAAAATGTTCATGGATAGGAAGACTCAATACTGTGAAAATTATAATCCTACCACAAGCAATCTACATTTTCAGTGCAATCCCAATACAGATGCCAAATTCCTTTTTCAAGGAAATCAAAAGAGAAATTGTCAAGTTTGTTTAGAGAGACAAGAGACCCTGAATATGCAAGACATTTCTGAGAAACAAAAATGAGGTGGGAGGCATAGCACACCCTGACCTCAAAACCTACTGCACAGCAGTAGTAACCAAAACAGCATGGTGCTGATACAATGACAGGCACGTAGACCAATGGAACGGAATTAATAACCCAGAAATAGACCCAGCTATCAATGGTCAACTGATATTCAGCAAGGAAATAAAATCTATCAAATGGGGAAATGACAACCTCTTCAACAAATGGTGCTGACAAAACTAGACTGCTACCTGCTGATATCTGAAACAGTATCCACATCTCACACCGTACACAAAAATCCTCTCATCAGAGACAAAGTCGGATCAAACTTAGTGTAATCGGTGGTATAAAAAGACTGCCACATACAGAGAAAAATGTACAAACTGAAGAGGATAAAACTGATGAATGGGACATTCTAAAGATTAAATCCCTGTATGTATCAAAAAAA